GCCCAGCTGTGGGCAGTCCATCTCCCTGCCTTACCCTGTCCCTGGGAAGATGGGCATGACACTGAGCAAGGGCTGGAAGAGGTGTGGAGGGAGTGGGATCTGAGTGATTTAACTTAATGGTTTGGTGCCTGCTTCCTTGATGCGGTGGTTCAGTGGGGTTTATGGCCCGAAGCTGGGAGTCTTGTAGCATGCCATATAAATATTTATCTTTGGTTTGATAACTTGCAAGCACTGAGTGTTGCTGGTGTTTGTCTCTCCAGCTGCCAGAGCTCTGTAATTTGTTACACTGACAGGTAAGATGCTAACGTTTGGTAATGACCATATATTTGAATTAGAATGAGAAAAACTTAGTTTATGGTACTCAGGAGTGCCTGAATTCTGCTGCCAGGTCAGAGCTATGGGCTGCCCAGTCCCACGCAGCAGCAGGAGCTGGCGGGTCCAGAGATGTATTTCTGATCCATCAAAGCACCATTCAACCTTTTGGGGAGAAACACCACGGACCTTGGAGCAGTACCACTGCAATGAATTTCCATTTACAGCAAACTGAAAATTAGGCTAAACTCTGAAAGGCTGTTTGCTATTTTGGTGTCCCCCGTTTTAGTTGCCTGCACTCGTGGGGATGTCTGTGTTTCTTTGCTTGGTTTTTCTCCCATTATTTTTACGCATTTCTCAGACCTGACAATGATGTTTATGGAGGCCCCAGGGGACAACGGTGCACCAAGGAACTGGCAGAAAGATGCTGAGACCTTGTTCACTGCAGCCCTGCTGTAGCCACGCACGGGCAGGGCGCAATGAGCGCTGAGTGGGACATAAAAGCAAACAAGCTCAAAATTGGTTTGGGGCAGGATTAATCTGAGGTGACCAGGCTCTGATGGTGACCTTCTGGAGGCAGGGGTGATGCACCTGCCCAGTGCCACCATGCTGCCCACCTGTAACCCTGATACCGCCTTTCCAAACCATCCCTTCAGCCTGGAGAGGTCCCTGTCCCCCCGCCTGTGCCGCCCAGCTGTCCTCCTCCTCCTCTGCCACTGAACACCAGCCCGACCAGCCCCAAATCATGTCTTTTCCAACTCTCCACGTTTTCTCCAAATCCTCTTTGAGACAGTGAAACAAAAGTGGTAATTCCTTCCTTATGCTCTCGCGTTCCTTCCCCGCCTCCTGCGGGAGTTCCTGTATGTTTGTTTTGCTTTGCTTGAGGGTCTCCAGTATTTCCTGAGACCTGGTTCCTCCCGACGCTGATGGGCTGGAGCCCTCCGCCAGCCCCGGGCACCTCCTGCCCCAGGGACCTCTGCAGCGTGTCTCGGCCAGCAGGCCAGCCTGGGCTCCTAACACCTGTCGAACAACTGACCCGGCACCCGTGCCCTGGAAGGTCAGCAAGCCCTGCTCTGAAAAGACAATATTTTATTTCCAACGTTCCCATGCTGACTGGAGAAGGAAGTGCCGACAGATCACACCACACGGCCAGCGGCTAAGAACAAAGCAGTTGCTGAAGCGTTCCTGGATGATGGAAAATCAGGGAGGGCTTTAAAACCGGCCATAGGTTTGCAGATCTAAAAGATAAATCTGCATCGATGCTAACGATGTCAGAGGGGAAAGAGAAGACCTCTGCCAATGGCCCATGCAATGCCTTAACCAGCTTCCTGATGCTCTCAGCACTCTGGAGAGATGCTGAAATGTTCAAATTCCTCAAAATTTAGTAACAACTAAAATGTGGAGATTACACCATTATTATTATGGTATTAGATAACGGAATGTAGCAAAGTGATCAGAACAACTTTGTTAAAGCTAAATTTAGTTACAGAAAATATTGAAAGCCCATCTGGGACCAGTCTATCCGAACAAGGCTATGGACATCTGCGTAGGCTGCCTGGGCCAGCAGAGTCCGGCTCCCCAGTACAGAGCTCTGTTCCGTTCCCTGTCGTTTGCATGGAATCAGGCAACGTGTGTCTTGTGCCAATAACACAATATTATAAAACTTACAACCTCTATTACACTTCATGCCTCTAAAACACATGAAGTCAAATCGAAGCCTGATGCTGAAGACCAAAAGCAGGGGTTTTTTTGGGGAAGGTGCACCCTTTCCATCTGTGACCCTTTATTTACTGTTATCCCAGTGATACGGGATGGTTTGTTTGGGGTTGCTCATGCACAGAGTACAAAGCAGGCTTGACACAGCCAGCCTGCACTCCAGGACATCATACAGCACGTAAGGAGTGGGGAAGAAGTCTACAACAAATTGCGTATTATGTCCATACGAACAGGGCAGGTCTGCAGACCAGGCTGCTGCGCCTCTGGATGGAAATGAAGCTGTGGAGCCAAACCTCCATTTAAAGGCAGCAGTGCAAGGGTAAGAAGAATCATACAATGGGAAATTTCCACGGCCTCACTGGCAGACAAGGAAAGGAGATTTCAGTCAGTTAATTTTCAATACCTGGACAAATAAATCCTTACTTTACCCACAGGACACACTACTGACTCTAATTGGAATGAAGTTAATTCATAGGTGTGAATTTGTGGTCTTAAGTTCCAGAATCACATCCTATACTAAACATGGAATTCACCCACCGAGGCACGTCACTGGAGTTCAGTGATACAGGAAGCTGGCCATTAAAAACCTTTTTTACAGACAAAATAGTCTGTATTTCTTAATCTTGATGCCAAGTTTCAGTCTGCCACCTATGCATTACATCATCAATTTAATGCACCTGCTTATCCGTGTCTATGTATGTACAAACGCATGTTGTCGCCTACCTGACAGATGATGGGGGCTGAGCATCCACCTCACTGTCAAATGATTTCCAGGTCTGAGTGTGAAACTCGTGTATGGGGCAAATGCAGCTCTGCTTCACCTGCTGTCTCAAGGCTTTGTCATCAGCACTTGACTGTCACCAGTCACTTACATCCTTCCCTTCAATCCCAACGTGATAGAAACAATATGGAACACATAGCTATGTAGTTAGAGAGACTCTGGGTTCTGTGCCAGAAAATAATTGCATAAAGTAAGAAGCTTAGCCACACTTCTCCTGTCTTAAATTAAAACTTGGAATAAAATAAAAGAGAAATTCAGCTGGCAACTTATTCTAGTCATCCTCCTAAAAGGAGAAACACAGAAATCATCAATCTAGTTATGATGAGAGCAGGGAGATTTTAAAAAAAAAAATAAATTAAAAAATCTCACTGTTGCACATTTTCTTCTTGAGCAAATTTATAAATAGTTTTTATTGGTTCTTTTTAAAATAACATGTATTGAAACACTCTAGATTTAAATAGCTGCTGCCCTCTGAACAGGG